GTCTGCCAGAGACAATGTGCCAGGCCTTGGGGCACCCTCTGCCTTCTGTCCCCCCATCACCCCTGAGGCCTTCGCAAGCTGACACAGCCACCTCCATGATCAACATTGCCTAGCCTCTGGCATTCTGCCTCCCCACCCCATTACACTGTCCTTCAGTCTTCGGTTCCAGGGCGGGGGGACGGGGACAGGACATGTTGCTAGCTGGAGGGGGCGGGGGCTGATGAAGTTGAGAGAAGTGCAGAGAAATACCATACTGGCTGTGGCGCAATCAGGGCCAGAGGACAGGCATAGAACACAAATGGCAGGGAGGGGGCCCTTTAGGGAAAAGGCAAGCAAGAGGCAACATGATAGAGCTTTATAAAATTATGCATAGCATGTGAAAGCAGAGAGAGAGAAGTTTTCTTCTCTTGTAACACTAGAACACATGGAAACCCCATGAAGCTGAATGAGTCAAAGCAGATTAAAGAAAGCACTTCTTCAGGCAGTACATAGTTTAACTATGGAACTCACTCCCACAGGAAGCAGCAATGGCCACCAATGCAGATGGCTTTTAAAGAGGATTGGACCAATTCATAGAGGAAAGGGCTATCATTGGCTACCAGCCATGATGGCTTATGCTCTGCCTCCAGCAATGCTTCTGAATCCCAGTTTCTGGAAACCACAGGAGGGGAGAGGGCTCTTGTGTTTGGGTGCTGCTTGTAGGCTTCCTATTGGGGCATCTGGCCAGTGACTGAGAGAACAAGATGCTAGACTAGATCCGTGGGACTGATCCAACAGCAGCAGGCAGGCTCTCAGGATGAGGGCTATACTCTGCATATGCTTGGCAGTTCTTCTAATGCAGGGGTCTGCAACCTTTAAGACAAAAAAGAGCCACTTGGACCCGTTTCCGAAGAAAAAAAAACTGGGAGCCGCAAAACTCGTCATTATAAAAATAACTTTTTTGTCACTTTTTTATTATTTCTTTGTTTGACCCCTCAGAATTACTCCTCCTCATAGAAATAAACGTTAAATTAACAAGTTACCTTTTTTTTGGTGTGTGTTCTTCACTCCCCTTCAAAACAGTGACCAGCGTACATGCCCCCTTTCAATGCAGTGACCAGCGTACATGCCCCTTACAATGTAGCGGGCGGGCGGGTGGGAAGGTGACGTCGGGACGGTGCGTGACTAACGCACGCACCGCCCCATGTGACGTCACAGCCAGTACAGCGCCCGCCACAGTGGGGAGTGTCGGGGCGCACAATGCGCCTCCTCCCCTCGCTAGTATCTGCCCCGGAGCCGCGGCAAAGGTGTAAAAGAGCCACATGCGGCTCCGGAGCCACGGGTTGCAGACCCCTGTTCTAATGCCTTGCATGTTGTAGAGCTGAGAGCCCCCTTTTTGGCTCAAGCTGACACAGTCGTTCTAGCCCCCAAACTCCCTACATTATCAGAATTTGGCACAGTCAAGATGGGAGCTGTAGTCCAAAACGTCAGGCAGGCACCAGTTTGGGAAAGGCTGATCTACATTTGCTGTTTAGTTTTATTTATTTTAAAAGAAAAGAACTCAGATATGAAATTGCACTAGTAGTTCATGCTTTTCCGTAAACAAGAATTCATAATCTTCATCCCACCATATTCCAGAGGGTATATAAGACTTATTTATCCATCTTCCCTGTCCAACATGTAAATATTCCTTGTGAAAGGGGCCCAAGAGACTCTATCCAGCAGCTCTTGAATTTCAGAGTACACACGACTTGAAGCCTCAGGTGGAATAAAGATGCATCCTGTGATGCCTGGAAGCTTGCCACTTCAATCATAAGTGCTGGTGAGTTTTGCTTTGCTTTTTTTTCTTTAAGTGACTACTGTATTCAGAACCATTTTGGATTTGCAGAAAGACTGGCTCACATGCAGGCAGGGCTCTTTGCATCAAACAAGTGCAAGGCTCTCTCCTCCTCCCTCTGGTCGCCCACAATTAAGTTGTTTGGGTTATGGGATGGGGTGTAACAAACATGGGTGCTCCTCAGGCAAGTGAAGGGAGGCCCCCTGCTCCTATGCCACCCCCGGCACTTCGCCCATTGTTGCTCAGGCTTCCTTGCCAACCCTATCATTCCCACACACCTCCATGTCAATCACAGCATGTCAGGTTCCATGAAGCCACCCACTTCTGTCATTGTGTCCCATTGCTGCTGCTGCGTGGGAACTTGAGGTGGGGGTGTTGCAGCACAACTCCCTGCTGGATCCTAACAAGGGAGGGGGGCTGGTGGGTGACTTGGCTGATCTGGAATGTGGGTGCTTGCCTGCTCTGGATGGGGTTGCATCTCCCCCAGGAATCAAGTCTCTGCAGTTTGAGAATGTTGGGGGGGGGGGAGCCCAAGCGGCTTCCTGCAGCTTCAGGCTGGTATAGTAATGCCAGCCACTCCTGACCACAGTGATCCTTGCTCTGGGAACCTCTAGATTAGTATACTGTGATGTGCTGTAAGTGGTGCTTCCCTTGAAGACTGCAAATTTCCTGCAATTCAGAGCAAATGGGACCAGCAAAAAAACACTGCCGTGTGGGTAGCTTCCTGTTCAAGACTTCAGTCACTCCATCCCTCTCCCTCAACAGTCAGTCTGCATTGCCACCCTGGATGCTTGGCAGTGGTGAGGGTGAAGCAGAGTGGAAGAGATGGGGGGGGGGGGGGAAGGTTGCCAAAGCCAGGAAGGACAGCCCTGGGGGAAAGGGGCAAAGGCTATTCATGCTCTGGCCTGCCTCCCTGCACTTTCTGGAGCAGTCTCCTTTACTCCTGCTCATAGTCTCACTCCCCATTCCGCCCCCACTTGGGATCCCAGGCCCGACTCAGCTCGGGGGTATCCCAGGGGCTGCTTTCCTCCTGAGCTGGTTCCCTTCCCTTGAAAGGCTCCCAGCCAGCCTCATCCATTTTCGAAAAGCTGGCTTTCCTCTTAAAAGCTGCCTTTCAAAAATAGCCTTTTGAAAACATCCCAGCTACCCCGCCCCCCAAATCTCTGTCAACCAACAGGAGCCGGTTTTTTCCAAGTTGGGGAACAGAACAGAGCCACATCTCTCTCCCCTCCTGGGCTGCAAGCGGGTCTCCAGGCATAGAAATCATAGAATTGTAGGGTTGGAAGGAACCCCCAGGAACACCTAGTCCAACCCCTTTGCAATGCAGGAATCCTGCCCACAGCCATCGCTGGGTCTACCAGAGGGTCTGAGCTGAGCTAAGCGGGGAGGAAGGCAGTTTGCTTGAGGCCCTCCCCTCCCCGGAGAGCCAGCTGCTTTTTAAAAAGACTCAGAAAGGTGTAGGGAGGAGGTGGTTAAGGACCAAGGAGAGCTGGAGAACAGAGCAGCTGTCTGGCTTGCAGAATAGCTGCCTGGCTATTGGGGATGGTATAGCACTCAAGAGTAATGGACCTGGGCCCCATCTGCACTCAGCATTTGAAGCAGTACCATCCCACTTTGAGCTTCCCCAAAAGAAGGCTGGGAAGTATAGTTGGTTCAGGGTGCTGAGAGCTGTTAAGAGACCCCCTATTCCCCTACAATTCCAAGAGTTCCCGGAGAACAGAGGTTGACTACTCTGAGAATTGCTGCTCTGGGAGGGGAATAGGGAGCCTCAGAACTAACAGCTCTCAGCAACCCCACAAACTACACTTCCCAAGATCCTTTGAGGGAAGTCATGTCTGCTTATGAAGTGCTATGATACGGCTGCAAATGCAGAGTGCAGATGAGGCCAGGGAGACCTCGGTTAGCACCGCGGTGCAGCCATGAAGCTTACGAGGTATGCCATGCAGGGTTGTTTTTTAAAAACAAGAATCTTTACTCCAACCTTCCTTAAGCAGCTCAGAGTGACATCACCTGTAGTTTCCATTATGATGGGGAAGGGGGGGGAAGCAAATATGGATTTATTTATTTTTTAAGTCCTAAAAAGGTGTAATGAATACAGAATGCCAACCCATCCCTTGCACCAGCTCTCGCACCGACAAGCCTCCTTGCACACTCAGAGTCACATCCATGGCCCCCCTTCAGAGCTCCAGAGCCCACCCAAGCAGTGAGCAGGCCTCTAACAGGCAGTTGGATCAGCTCAACATCTGCACCCATCACTCGCTTGCAGAAACGCCCCCCCTCCTCTGTGCCATGAGCGTTCACAACTGCCAGCATGGGAGGGGCCCGTCCTTCGCCCCCGCAGAACGAGGCCGTGACTGAGCCAAAAGCGTCCTGTGTTGGCGGCGGCAGGCCACAGCGCCGACTCTGAAGCCGCCCCTCCAGCGCACAGCCAGCTTCAGTCATTAGCTCATCAACTCAAGACTTCGGGACAATTAATCCTATTCCCCTTCCCTTGGGACGCAGCACGCCAACATCCCAGTGCACGGTCGGCATAGCAACCAAGCCAGCAGCCTGATCCAGGGATGTTTATGTCCTCTTGCTGCAATGGAGGAGGGGGATGGATGGGGAGGGGCTGCTGCTGCTGCTGCAAGGGATGAAAGGCAAACAGGTAGATGCTGAATAAGAGGCTCAGCCAGGCTCTTTATAGTCTGCTTGTTCTCCTCGGAAGGGCTGCTCACCAAGGCACTGCAGAGGATTCGGGCCCTGCCAGTAAACTGGGAATCCCCAACACACCTGCTGTCCTCCCCCCCCACACCCTTCCAGGCAAATAAGCATCACAAATGGCACCTTGAGTTTACATCACAGACATTGCCCAAATTCTTCCTTGGGTACCAAGGAAGAGAAAGTAGGACTATCATACAGCTCTGGGGTCCTCTCCCACCTGAGTCCACAGGCCAGGCATCCACAGCCACAAGCAGCCCAGAGCACATTCGGGAAAAGGATTTGGCAGCCTGAGAATGACAGTGCCCATTAAAAGAAAATAAAGATGCTAGTCCTCAGGGCTGCTAAGGCAAGTGTTCAAACAAAAGCACAGTTATGCACAGTGCCTGGCAATTTCAGAGTGCGCCTGAGTGCTGCAGTCAAAGAAGGGCTTCGGTCCCCCCACCACCACACATGTCCTCTGCAGCAAAGCACACAAATGCATGCTGGGATAGCTCAGTTGGCAGAGCATGAGGCTCTTAATCTCATGGTTGTGGGTTCGAACCCCACATTGGGCAAGTTTCTTGGATTGCAGAGGGTTGGGCTACATGACCCTCGCGGTCCCTTCCAATTCTACGATTCTACGATTCCTGTGATTCTATGCAAATGTGCCCAATCACACAGCAGGGCTCGTCTTGCCAGGTATCCTCTTTAGCACAGCTGATTCCTGCTGTGCTGGAGTACAGAACACTTTGGCCTGCAGTCTCCTGCATTCTTAACTGGACCACCTGCCAGCAGAAAGGGCACATGCCCCCTCCTGGCTCAGAGAAGGGCCATAGCTAAGTGGTAGAGCACCCCCTCTGCATGCAGAAGGCCCCAGGTTCAAGCCCCAGGATCTCCTGCCAAATCCCTGGGATTTAAAAGTGGGGCAACTCCATGCAATCAAGGGGGAAAGGCCTGCGTCTTCTAAAACAAAACTAGGGAGAGGCTACTTCTCAGTGGTGGGATACGATACGATACAATACAATATGATACGATAATCTTTATTGTCATTGTCCCATACAGAACAACGAAATTGAAAAAATCTACATCAGACATTCAAAAACCAGCAAGCCTGCTATCCCAGCTATGACAGCCTGGTTAACCCCCTAAAAACTCTGGTACCCCATAATTAAATACAATATACTCCCACAGAGCCTACCTCACACTGCGTTTAAAACCAAAATCGCATTTGGATAGAAACTGTTTCTCATGCAGCTAGTCCTATTTATAACCCTGCTTTGCATGCAAAAGGTCCCGGGTTCAAGACATAGTATAATGCATGGCTGTTTGTGATAGCCATCCTGTCCCCAAGCTGATTTTTAAGGAGGCTACTGGGAGGTCATGACTGAGCTGAACTGGAGGTAGGTGGGTTAAGAGTGATGCTTAGTAAGTCCCCGCCTAAGAAGATTCAGGGCAGATAAAAGGAAGCATTTCTTCATGCAGCACATGGTTAAACTGTGGAACTCACTCCTGCAGGAGTTAGTGATGGCTTTAAAAGCGGACTGGACCAATTCCTGGAGAAGGACAAGTTTATTAATGGCTAACAGCCACCGTGGCTGTGCTCTGCTCCTACATAGCCAGAGGCAGTGATGCTTCTGAATGCTGGAGACTGCAGAAATGTCAGGCGTCTCATCCAGTCCCCCCCCCCCCCATCTACTACTCTGATGGGCAGAAACTCTGCAGGGTAACAAAGAAAGGTCTTCCCTGCCATCTGCTACCTGGGTCTCTAAACGAAAACCCCAAAGGAAGCTAAGGGGTGAACCTGGGACCCTCTGGATGCAAAGCAGATGCTCTGGCCCTGATCTATGGGCCTTGCCTAAGAACTGAACTGCTCCAGGTATGAAGGTGGTTCATGCAGATTCCGGAGAGTCAGAAAATGTGAAACCCTGTGCTGAAGGAGTGGCCTCCTTAGGGCTGCACTGAATTCCTCCCAAGGACTTTAAAAACACAGAGGGAATGTAAAGAAAATGAAGGTACATTCTTTCACCTTTGGTGGACGTGCCCAAAGATTAAGGCTTTCTGGGAGATGATCTATAATGAATTGAAAAAGGTATTTAAATATACCTTTCTAAAGAAACCAGAGGCCTTCCTGTTGGGCATAGTCGGCCAACTGGTGCCAAAGAAGGATAGAACTTTCTTTATGTATGCCACAACAGCAGCAAGAATACTTATTGCAAAGTATTGGAAGACACAAGACCTACCCACTCTGGAAGAATGGCAGATGAAGGTGATGGACTATATGGAATTGGCGGAAATGACTGGCAGAATCCGAGACCAGGGAGAAGAGTCGGTGGAAGAAGATTGGAAAAGTTCAAAGACTATTTACAGAAATATTGTAAAATTGATGAATGTTAGAATGATGTTGGATAGAAACTAAGTGGCTTTTAGTTGTAATGTTATAAGGGAATATGAAAAAATGGACTATTAATAGGTAAAAATTTAATGTTATAATACTTTAAGATCGAAGACTAGGATAAACAAAGAGGGGAGGGATTTGCTAAACTAACAATTGAAGTAGAATACAGAAAAGGGAGGCGTGAGGAGGTCTGGGAAACAAGCAAATGAAAGATAAGTGATTGAAAGACTGAATTGTTTTTAACTATTTTTATTTTGTATTTTTCTCTTTTCTTTTTCTATTTTGTAATATTTTGAAAATCCTAATAAATATCTTATTTTTAAAAAAAAACACAGAGGGAAAAGTGACCAACAGAGATCTATTGGCCTCATCCTGAACTAAAAACCCCAGAAAGAAACTGATCTCTGTGATGTGCACCAGCTGACATCAACCCACCTATCCCCTGATAAAAATCAGGCTCAGTGGACAGGCAACACCAGTTGGCTGGATGATGCCCCAGGCAGCTCTTTGGCCTTTCCCAGGAAGTGTGGCGGGGTCTTCTGCCCTTGCCCAACAGTTCCCCGCTCTCCCATAAAAGCTGCCCTTTCCTTGGTCTCCTCTCCAGAACACCCTGATTAAAATCAATCACAGCCTTTTCTATATTAATGGCATCTTATTTGTATTGAATGCATCATTAATGTTAACGATCCCTGGGAGTCTTCCCCCACCCTCCCTGGACGGAGTGTATTAATTGCTCACTTTGTAATTAAATATTAAGGCTGGGAGTTTTCACGCTTCACACAGCTGGCATGTTTTTTTTGGGGGGCGTGTGCCTGAGCGAGAGACGGGGCTGGCGGGCGTCAGCCTCTTCAAAGATGCGGGGAGAGGCAAGGTGGTTCAGCAAGGATGCAAACGCCCCCACGCAATATCAGACACCGCTTCTGCAAGATGCACACACATGCTCAAAATATCTCGGCCAAAGAGGCGGGCCACGGGGTAGGCCTGTGCCATAAAGAGAGAGGACAGCCCTCTCTTTGAAGGGCAATCGCATGGCTGTCCTTTGGCACTGGCCTCTATTGGAAATGGGGGTGCAGCCCAAAGGAGGAGGAGTGGGGCCCCCCTCAAGAGTTAGCAGTGCATGGACAGCAAGCACACACAGGTCACCTTCTGGCACTTCCAGACAGCGGCTGAATATTTCAAATGGGTTGCTGAAAATGGGCTGTCAGCAGCTGGGTCGGCACATGCCGTGTGTGTGGTTTTTAAAAAAAAAAACACTGGAATTTTTCAAAAGGGCACATCTGGATTAAATGGGGGGAAGTCAACGACGTCATCATGTGGATACTATGAAAAGCTTAGCATGATCAGCATCCCACAATCACGGTCCTTCTACTAGGATGAAATGCATTGGAATTCCATTTAAATCACAACGATTTTTCCTAAATGTGCACCTATGCACATGAATGAGCATGCCCTGTTTTTCTTGCAACGTACAAGCGGCAACCTGAGTGTGCAAACACATAACAAAGAGGTGGACACTGAGCCCAAGACTTGCGCCACCACCCCCAGTTCTGAAGGAGAGGCAAAGGGGATGGACAACCGCAAAGTGCCAGGCTCAGAGCCCCAAGACACCTACATGGACAAACCTGATGACCAGAGACAACCACAGGGCAGGAGCCTACCTTTGCCTGGTTCCATATATCTAAGGACATTTAACAGACCACTGTATTTTAATATTTTGTTGGAAGCCGCCTCGAGTGGATGGGGAAAACCACCAAATATCCAGGTTAAGAAGCACACCAGAGGCACCTAGAGGTCACAGGCAAGCATGCTCAAGGAAGCTGAGTTGCAACACTTCCTGGAAAAGCCATGGTCTGCTGTCTCTGCCCAAACTCCCTACAAATTTGCATTTCTAAAGTAAGCAAATAAGGCACCAGGCTCCTTCTGGAAGGGTTCGGCCAAGATATGATCACTGAAAATGTCAGTCCTTCCTCTGCATTCGCCCCAGGCCAGATCAGGTGTCTCTTTCTTGGAGAGACCTCCAGCCCACCCTCTAGTCATGCTTCGAAAGTTTCCAATTGCATTTCTCAGAGATGGGCCCTAAAACCTCCCTCTTCTTGACCAGTCTTGAGAGCAGATGTGCCCTGTGCTTGCTAAACTGGAGGCATTTTACTTGCAGTTTTTACTGCTGCTGAAGCTGGAAACCAATGCAAGACTATTGAGTAGGTTAAATCATATTTCCAGTCTGTTGTCTGATTTCTTCGTTAAGCGGGATAAGAACGGGGGAAGCCAGCTTAATTCGTAGCTGGACTTAATTAAAAGAAGGCTTCATGGCCTGTTCCTACACACTTCAATTTTGCTGCTAAGGGACTTTTAAAACTCTGTACAGCTCACACACACCGAGGGATAAAATACAATTAATATATACTCCCCTACCTATTAAAACCCATCCCACACTCCGTCTTCCCCTTCTTTGTCTGACACGTGTGACCCTCGTCGGTATCCAGTTTCCCTCTGACACCCCCTTTGTCTCTTCAGCCAAACCAATACCAACCTCTCTTCCTCTTCTTCCCTTGAACCGGTCTCACTGCATATGCTGGTTTTCCTCTGTGTTCCCAGATAGACTTTCGAGAATATATTTAGCTCGAAAACCCAATACAGCTCTTTCAAACATAGCCTATCGTTAGCACGCTGGTTATTGATTTTGTTTAACGCCTTTGGTAAATATGCTGATTCCCTTTTTTTGCTACAACAAAATTGATTCTGGGTCTATCTCCGAGGGCCTTGTTAACCCTTGGGGTGCCAAACGATAGAGTGCACTCAGGTCTCAACATCAAAAGATCCTCCCCAAAAGGGGTGGCAGGACTGCACGTGAGAACAGCAGGCTTGCAGGCAACTGCAAACCTTGTTAACACCCACCACAAGTCCTCCACCCCTCTCCCCTGGCACACACAGTTGTCCACAGTTCCACTAGAGGCACTTGGCATCTGCACCCAGAGGAGGCCCCAGCAAAAAGATGCACCATACACAAACAGAGACTGTCCCTTGTCTGCAGGGTTGTGGTTGCACTGTTCTGCTGTGAGGGGGAGGGAGAAAGTTGTCCACGGTGTTTGGTGTGCGCATCACACAAAAACGGGAAACGCTATTCTGGGCCACAGAGGGGAAACGCATGAGCCAAAGTTTCATGCTCCTGCGAATGTTTCG